TGCATGCACGCTGGTGAGTTTTCACTGAGAAAAAAATCACTAAAAAATCTCATATCGCCAGACATAAAAAATATAGCACATAAACTACATAGAAAATATGTAGAGAACATGTAAAAAATATTTATATAGAAAGAGGGAAGAGAGAATATATACAGAACTCTATTCAATGTATAGTTCTAACTTCTCGTAAAGTTATCGTTCTAACTTCCAAGTAGGCGCAAAGTATAATAATATCATCATAGTGTGGGTAATACTCGTAGAGAAAGTTCTTAAAAAAAAAGAAAAAAATTACAAATCGACTGTGCGTGTAAAACCTACGTAGATATAAGCGACGCGATGCCGGGCGTACGCATCGTGCGTAGAGATATAACAACTGATGTCGAAACAGTTTGATGGACGAGATCGCGTAAAGTTCAAAATACAAAAAACTCGGGACGAAGCACCTGTCAAATCGCATTATCGGACACTGTCGACACGTACGTTGGCGCCATATGCCTCGCATGATCACGCGGTTACGCGAAATATCGATGCGCGACGTCGTGTATTGTTTATTCTCTCTTTCCCTTGTTTTTACGTGTTTTATGGCGCGACCGGCGATGATAAGCGGCACTCGGTCAAACGATCGTATGAGTAATTAATGACAAACGCTTCGCGCGCCAGCGGTTTTCCGTTGGAAAAGCTTGGAGACATTCAATTAGGCAACTCGCCAATCGCAAACCGAGCGGGAGCCAGTCAAACGTACGAGTGCCGCCAAGCGATCGATCAAAATTTTCTTGCGATAAACGTCCCCTTGTTCGTTCGTAATCGGAGAGCTACGACTCGCTGCGATATGCAAATTATACGAAGGCCACACGCAAGAAAGGTATTTATCAATATTTTACTCTCTTTCTCGTGCACTTCCACACACATACTGTGGTATAAACAAATTAATCAAGTATGTGTGGTGTTGCATTTATTACTTTATCAATATTTAAAAAGTCTATTAAATATTCCAATCTTTTATGACATTGGATTTATGTAATTATAAGTTTCTAAAAATAGTTTCTAAAAAGATGATATTAAAAAATGAATATTTACGTATAAAGATCATCATTTAATACAAAAATTAGTAGGTAAGTATTTTTTTTATCATTAATCATGTTTCTTCTCAATTATTGTTCTAAATGACTCTGTTTTAGAATCATTTGAAATAATAATTGATAAAACCATAATCGATTTCAAAAATACTTGTGACAATATTTTTATAGTTGCGATCAATCGTGTGTCTTAAACACAAGTAAAAATTAGATTACACATACGAATACATTCTGCAATTTTAATCTTACTGATAACTTTCAGTTAATATCGGGAATGAAGAAGTCAGCATTTAATCGAATTAGTTAAAGAATTGAAGGATAAAAAAAGATTCGATGCCAGCACAAGTCGCTTCGGTAAACGGTTCAAATCGACGCAGCTCTCGCTCGAGGGCAACGTTACCAAATAAAGGGTTAAATGGATCACGATGTCGGTCGTATTTTCTCGTGGCGGCGGCGGAACCTGAAAAAGCGCTCGCGATATACTGTTACCACACCGGCGCGGCGCGGCGTGGTGGAGAAAGGGAAAAAAAAAACTACTCTACTACCTCAGATATTGAATGGGGAACGAGTGCCGTCCCTCTTACGCTGGCCAGTCGCTCCGCAGTAAGGTCATTGCACACTCGTAAACAAACAGGACGCGTCTACAGCGAATACTCGTGTGCGTCACTGAACGTACACACACCGATCTAATACGGCCTTGGGCTTTCCGAACGGAGTGATTTTAATGCTTGCCTTTTAAATTCCGGGAATACATCGTGCGCGCGCCTCGCGATCGATCATCCAACGAACTCTGCGAATTCCCGGCGAAATGTAACGTGTACGACCGCGCTGGCTGAACTTTACGGCAAATTCCACGGCCCTAATTTGAAGTACTCCTGCCTCAACGAGAATATCCGAGACATCAGCGCTATCAATGTTAAAAGCGAGCATAAAGAATTCTTAGCTTCCAAAATAGAAGGAGATGACAAAACTTTGCTCCTCAGGTAATTTCGAGCTTGCTTTATCTCCATCAAATTTCGAAATTTTATTATGAAGGTATTATTAAGAAGAGAGAGATAATAAGTCGTGAGATATATTCAATATTTGACACATTCAATTAAATTAATTTAAAAAATCCATTATTTAATGCGACTGATATGTCATATATGAATGATAATTTTTTATGCATGTAAATAAATGCGTATTGAACTAAAAGAACTTAAAAGAATAACCAAATATGTGTCAAAAGAAAAATCTTCCTTTCCGATAACGAATTTTAATATGGTAACGGTGAATCGTGAAATGTGTGTGATAAGATAGACGTAAATTATTAATATTAATTATACAGATAGAAGAGTATTAACCGCCATTCAATATCCTATTTCGAACAGGATATACTAATAAATCCATATAGTAAACTAGCTGCGCTGATTCTCTAAGCGTATCATAAGTCCATAACATATATACAGTACATCCTCCAGGTCTTTAAACCCGATTGACATATAATACATTTAAAGAGCTTCTCAGTCCATAATACATTCCCTTTAACGATTATAGTACACTGAACTAAAAGATTAAATGGCACGACTTCAAAATCCGACATACTTTGAGCATTTATGAAAATTAATATTTTAAGAGATCACACAATTTCAAAGTCAAGAGTGCAAATCGCTTAATTTCTTATACAAATGAGAGATAATTGCATCCATCATGTCTTCCTAAAAATGCCGAAATGTTACGTTAGGAATAATAATAGCGACACACACATGTACGTCCAGTCGATGTAAAATACTTATACTTGTACGGAGAAAAATGATTTTGCTGAAGTATCTGAAAATTTAGCTAGATATAAAATGTTAAAATTTCATCATCAAAATTTCGATACTTCAACAAAATCATATTTTCTGTGTACATAACACGACCTATTTTATTATAACAAACATCCCAATAGACACGATCTAACGCGAGATTTATCGCATCGTTAAAGTCTTCGCAGCGGAAGAACACGGCGATCATTCTTGCGCGTTATCGCAATTTCTCGTTCGCAAGTTTTCGCATCCTGACAAATGTCACGCTCCGCGAGGGAAGGCAGAGGATCCGCGCGGGTCAGCGTACTCGAGTGATCCCCTCGTTTCCATCGCGTTGCGTTGCGCAAATCTTACGGGCCGGCGCGGGGCGGTGCGGCAATTTCCGTTTTTCGCGTACGTAAACGTTCTCCGAAACGTGCGCGACAATAAACGCGGCATTTGACACCGGTCGCGATGAGAAGGTCGAAGGTCACTAACCACGATCGTGCTCCGTAAACGACGCCACAGCGGTCGACTTGCACGGGTCGGTACCTGATATGAATGAACGAGGAAGCAGGGAATGTAGTGTACCTGCGAACCCTTCCTTTTCGTCCCTTATAAAGAGACAATAAATAGAAACATTCGACAACGAGGTGTCGAACAACGAAAACCGGTTGGGGATGCTGGTATTCCATTGTATTAGTGACTTTCGTCGGCACGTGGCACCTTATTGTTGTGCAACACCCTAATATTCGACGCATCTACTAAATTATTCTAATGTATTCTTAACGTGGCGTATGCGAGAAGAGTTAACTATAAATTACCTCTGGTAAATTACGTGCTTCATATTTCCGAGAGAAAAATTGAAAAGCTCGTATTTTTGAAGGTTAATTAGAAACATCGTCGACGATAACGAGGAGAAACACGAAGCGCTGATCTACTTGACACGTACGAAATTATATATTTTATATATGAATTTACGTCTCGTGACATTATTTATAACTACGCGGAAAAAAATTCTACTCAAGTATCTGAAAATTTATATATAAAATAGAAAGTAATTTAGTTGGACCGTCAAAATAATTGTAAAAATCTCAAGCACGATGAGTGATGCTGCAAAAAATTTTGACTGGAGCAAACCAGACAGTTTAAACGTCCTACGTAATTATTTTGACAACCCAACAAAATTATTTTCAGCCCTGTATCTAAATTTTTACTAAACTGCAGTAAAATTATTTTCAGAGCTGCATTTAGCAAAATTTTTTAGATATATTTGTACGGAGAAAAAAAATTGACTAAATTAGCTTAATTCGTGTTTATTTTTTTCGATGAAGAGTACAAGTATATTTTACTTGTATGCATTTTCCAACAACAAAAAAATAAAAACAAATTGATTTAGTTAATAAATTAGTCAACTGAACAATTTCCTTCCTCAGTATGAGTAAAATCATTATTTCTTTCGCATAAAGATTCTAATAGCAAACCAATTGGCCAATCACGGTAGACGAGACAAGGCCATAACGTAAACAGTAGTAAATCTAACACGTTGATTTCTAAAGGCCAGAACACAAAGCTTTACATAACACGTAAAGTGGCGTCTCAATAAGATTTCAGGGCGTAAAATTTAAACCTTAAACCGTAAAGAATTTAACTAATTATAGTCGATTGCTCTCCTCACATTCGACTTGTGATTCATTCTTTACGAATTCAAAGCTTAAATTTTACACCTTAATATTATATCTCATCATAGACGCGTTACGTGTTAAAGTAAAGCTCTCCGATGCATAAAGCGTAAGAAAATTAACAAATCAATTCTTCATTTCGCGAAGAAAAGAGACTTTGATCGATTGACTCTCTCATTGCTTTTACGTATTGTTGCATAAAGCGGCGTCTACAACGAGATTTTAAGGCGTAAAGCTTGAACTTTAAGCCTTAAGCTGCAAGAAGTTGATCAATCATAGCCGATTATTCTTCTCACGCATCAATTTCTTACGACTCGAGGCTTAGAGAGCCTAAGTAGTTTCACGCCTTAAAATCTCATTGTAGACGTCGTATTGTACAAAGTGCTCCGGCGTGAAGTTGCGAGCATGTGTGGATCGATCGGTACGCTCGATCGATTAACGATAGGCGGCTCGTGCGAGCGCGCGGTGTTCGTTACCTGTTGCCAGTGATCCTCGAGCGACGGCTGGGCCGAGAAGTATCCGGTGTCGTGTATGTCCTGCAGCTCTCGAAATATATTGCCGCTCGGTAGGAGCGTATCCATGGCTACGCGCGGGGCTGCGAAAGTCCTTCTCCGCTCCGAGCCTCCTTCTCCAGCAGGTGCCTGCACACACACACACACACACGCGCGCGGGGGGGGGGGAGGGAGACGCGGAGGCGACGAGAGCGCGTAAACGTAATCTCAAACTGACCGAACACCCCGCGCTCGTCCCGGGCCACGACAGGACCAACTCGATTCACTGAACGCGCTCCGGACGCACGCACGCACGTAAACGTAGTAGCGAGTAGAGGCGAGCGCACGTGCGTATCATCGGGAGAAGAGGCAGGCCTCCCCCTCCACCAATCGAGCACGACGGAACTCACGGAACACGTCGACACCGAACGCGAGGACGGTTATGGAGTCGCGCACTTCCCGTTAACGGGCCCGCCGGTATCCACCACGACGCGACCGAAGTCGAGAGGCTTATTCTCCTCTCTATCTCTCTCTCTCTCTCTCTGTACCTGCCGTGTATATCACGACCGAAGAACCTGTATTGTTGTTGTTGTTGTTATCGCTGCCGTTAACTGTCGCGACTTGAGAAGAACGCGGGGTACAACCGGCGCGAAAAAAAAAAAAAAAACTCACTGCGAACACGGCATCACTCGTGCGGCTCGACGCTCTGTCTGCTGGCGTCGCGTGCACGGCTCACTTGCGACAGTATTCATCACACGCGGGGAGGGAACGCGGAGGGGGGAAGACACACGCGAAGCAAACGTCAAAATGCCGGCTGTAGTCGTCCCGTGCTTGGCTGCGGTTCCCCAGCCTCCCTCTTTCACCAGCTCCGCGCTGTTTCGTATTCACTTTAGACAGCTCCGGCGCGACGCGGTAACTCCTGATGACGAAAAACTCGCGCATTCACTGTTAAACGGCAACACACACGCGAGCCGTCTCTCTCTCTCTTCTTTCGCTTTCTCTCCTCTCTCTTTCCCTCTATCTATCTCTGCCGTTCCGCGTATCGTACTCGTCGCGTACCGGCTTTTATCCCTTCGCGCGCGCGCCGAGTTCGATGCCGGTTTTGGACCTCGGCTAACTTCTCGCCGTACACGACGAGATCGCGATACCGCGCACGTACGGTATTCTCACCCACGCGCTACGGGGGGGGGGGTTGAAGGGAAAACGCAGGGGAGGGTAACACCTTTAAAAACGAAGATCCTCGGCACTCCGTGAGATAGGGATACCCGGCGAATATCCCCGACCGCTGAATACGCACGGACTCTTCCGCGCGAGTGTCGAAGAGTAACTGACGTTCCTCACCGAAACTGTACGCGAGGAGGCCCGAGCGCCGCCGAACGTAACCGAGCGCGCGCGAACCACCGGCGACTCGTAACCGCTGTAAACGGCCGCGCGACGCCGCGGCAGCACTGATCGGTGACGTCGCGACGCCACCGGCCGTGCGCCGCGTATCACGGAGATGAAGTACCACCGGCACGAACGAGGAAAAAAGGCAGATTTGTTCTGGAGCAAAGGAATCCACGTCCGAGACGATTTCCTGTGTATAGACCAGTACGATCACCCCGACATCGACAGCGCGTCGGCGAGGAAAGAAACCAATCTGAAGTGAGGTACGTATGCGAGGGTGACTTATTTCTTTCAAACTGTCATGGCTATCTTATTGTCAGTTCGCGATGCGCGATTGGATATGCATATGAATGCGATTTGTAAACTTTTATTTCAAACTATGTCGGAGTAGATATCGAAATGCGCATTTCTGAAATTTTAGAAAAAGTAAAATATAACAAAGTGAATGAGAGACGCGAAGTAAGAATATTTTAAAAGTTTCGAAAATTATCTAAATTATATCTTCGTGTTTACTCTTACTTTAATATCAACACGGTATCGTTATTGCGAATTAATTTTCGAAAATAAACGCGGGCACTTGCGAACAATTCATTTTCGTCATTATATATACGAATAATCAATGTCACATAAATTTCCAAAGGCTCTTCTTTTACATGGTATTGTGTCACATACGCGAAAATGTATATTAATTTCCAATATAGATATTTTAAAATAATTTAATTCTTTATGAGACGTGAACAAAAATATTTTATAATTTCACGTTGATGATATAATTCTTGAAATTTCTGCGAAATTTAAAAATTTATTTTATTTATGAGATAGAGAAATTATAGAGATTGCGCAACTAAAAAAATACGCAAAATAAATTCTTTGTAAATTTCTTTATATAATTATTCAGTAGTGGCGAGGAAAATCTTCCATTATTTGCGCTTTAATTGCGCAACTCTGCAATAATTGTATGAATTATAATTATATATTCGTGAGCCGATATTACGTTCCATTCGAATTATAGGCAATGCGCTTCGGATTCCCATTCAAGCGACAGTACAGTAAAGGTCGTCTATAACTTATGCGTCTGTCTTACTTTCACAACGTGGCTAGACTCGATCATTCAGGTTTCTAGTTGCAATTTTGCGCGCGAAAAGTTTGCAGCCGCATTATGCACTAGAAATAAACCTGAAGCGCAAAATCTAGATTAAAAAAATTTTTTTTTAAATAACGCTTTACAATAAAATAGAGCGTGATTCTATTTTTCAGCTATCTCGATATCTATTATCTTCTTCGAAACCAATCTGGACAAAAAATCACAAACACACGACGGAAGTTGATTTTATTACGTAACGTTAAAAAAAAAACGTTATTTAATTATAACTTAATTTTTTGATAACTTTTTAAATTGATTTTCATTAAAAAAAAAGATGAATGAAAATTGACACGACGTGTTTATTGGCATTTCTTCTTTATGCCTCACCTCAAGCTTTACGTTTGTAATTTTTTTCTTATTACGTAATATATACATACTATCACATCTTTACTTTAATACGACACGTATACGAAAAAAAGAAGCTTGAAATTATCTTTCGCAGACGATAATCTCGAGAGCTTGTTTTCGAACCCGATCTAACCGAAAGTCGGAGGTGTACGTTTGCCTAACATATAGATTTAACTGACAATGAGAGAAACGCGCTGTTCGTTCAGCGAATCGACTACGAGAAATGCACAAGCACGAAGCACACGAACGCGAATTATTTGCAAATGAATAATCGCTCGTGAGTCAACCGAGGAAGCCGAGTGAGAGAGAAAGAGAGGGAGAGAAAGAGAACGCCTTGTGTCGCCGTAAATGATTCATGGATTCATGGATTCTGTGTGTTCGTTAAAGCCTTTCTGTAGACGATCGTACAGCACGCGGGAATGCCAGATTAGATACGTAAGCGGCGTTTATGGCGAATGGAATTAGAAGACTAACTGCGCTTATCGGACCCGTATACCTAGTTTCCGTTCGAGCTATCGCCGTTCAACTATCGCGTCGGAGGCTGACCGCGTGATTCGAAAAGTATTTTTTTTAATCGATTATTGTGTGTGCACTCGAATCGCTCTGTTTGCGCGCCCGATGTTTTCTCCAGCGCTGCACAAAGCGCGCGTTGTATAGGCGCCGTTATATCGAGGTGAAGTCAAAAGAGTTTCGATCGTATTGAACAATGGCTTGGAATTGATATTATATCGCACCGACTCGATCAATGATACTGCCGATATTCTTGGAAATTGCATTTTCTCTGCATACTTTTTAAACGATACTTTCTCTGAAACTAAATCGTTCGTGAAAGATATCCCTATTAAGGTAAACTACGTGTTAGGACTTTTATTACCTGCTCGTTTTTGTAATTAGAGAACGCTTTTTTTATATACATCCGAAACAATTCTGCGGGGAGACAAAGTTAATTCTCGGAACATTTACTTTGATATTATTCTGCGTCCGCGAGTACTACTGCAGATATTATCTGCTTTACGAAATTGCGAAATTGGAATGTATAGCACTGCGTCGGAACCTGACCTCGCGCAACCTCTCAACTTCGGCTTCATTTTCCGGATATATTCCTCCGCTCAGTGGGTTAAGACGCCCGGTACCATAAACATGGATGGTCGCAGTTGGACCCAAGCCCAACACTCGAAAAGCTTTCTTGTAGCTAGTAGGGATACGGCAGCATGTCGATTTTCGCGACGGAACGAGTCGACAGGATGTTTGTTAGACACTAAACGACTCTCTTTCTCTCTGGGCGGCGCATGTTCCGATAAAACGATCGACCGGGTATCCGGGGCCATTAACATATTAATTCAATTATTCAGTTTAGAACGCTATATTACGCTGATCGATGTTTGTAAACCGTATTGCATTTCTAGCATGAAACGTTGCGAGCATACGCAAATAATTTAGCAGGATGGAACGACGAATTTCAACTCTCCACTGATCCGAGTTTCAGTCGGAAATATAAAGCGATATAATAATACCTGTGATATACCAAACGTTGCGAGAATGCAGCAATTGATACAGAAAAATTGTTTCTTCTTTTAATACACTTTACAGTTTCATTACATATGTCAGGTAGCTTAATTATTAAATAATCTTAATTATTATTTCCAATAAGTAAATAGCGTCATTGTGATATAACTTAATTAAATAAATATTATCTTATAAATTTTGCAGTAATAATCGTTATTAAAACATGAAAATTATTTGAAGATGTTGAATGTTTAGAAATTTGTATTTTGTTTGGTTCTCTCTAAAGAAAAGTTGTAAACAAGACTCGACGAGACTAATTGTATCGCTTGTATGTTTTCCTGTAACGCAAGTTTCCTTGTACCTCTCTATCATTATCTGCATACCACAAACCAAGGTTAATAACAGCTACGTCGTCGATATTTGGTGCACGTTTCCTTTATACACCACACCGGTAGTTTCGACGATCCGTGTCTTACAGAGCGCAGCAAGAAACGCGCTAAGACTGACGTAACCCCGCGGTTACATAATGCCACGGCAAACGTTTGCAGCGTGCGCGTGTAGTACCAACTATTCGTGTCAACTATTATTCTTCGAACGACCCTCGACGTAGCGTCGTTGGCCGCGCTGCACATTTGCGCATCCTTGGAACTGGAATTTATGGGACGAGGTCGCGCATAGGTGCCCGTTGTAGTGTTTAGGATTTTGTTAGACGTCGCATCCGCAACTTCGCGAAATACTAGATAAATAGATAGATAAATAGATAGAGCGTTCATATATTATAGTTC